TTGAGGGGGCAAGGCTGGCGGAGCCAGTTCAGTCAGAGCCCACAGACAGTGCCAGGGGTGGGGGGTGCTCTGGACTTAAAGGGGCGACGCCACATCTTTCTCCCGCAGACCCCAGGGGATGGGTTTGCACCACCGAACCTTTGGTTAGCCGGCGGTGCCTCCTGGACTCCTCCAGCAATGTGTGTGTGTGTGTGTCCACGTGTGAATCCAAACCAAGCACATCCGAGTGTTCATCGTATTCAGGAACGTGCAAGAAAGCTGGTACCTATCAAAACCCAAACCCAAGAGGCGTCCCTCCTGCAGGAACCACGTGGCCCAGCAGCCCCCTCCCAGAAATCACGCGTGCTGTGCACCAGACAGCTGACCGTCCTTCCGGGAGCCCCCCCTTGGCGCGTTGGCAGTGCAGGCGGGTGCCGGCTTGTCGGAGAGGGGAGAGGCACAGCTCCCTCCGGGCGGCGTGCAGGGCCGGGGAGGCAGGTGCGCAGAGCGGTGCGGCCACTGGTCAGTGTCCACGCGGCTCGAGAGCAGCCGGCCGGAGCGCCTCCTGGTGGACGCCGCGGGGAGTGGCGCTTGTCCCGGGGCCCACCATCGCCCATGCTTGGGGGAGGGGAGCACCCCTGGCATTCCCACACCCTTTTAGTGTGTGCACCCTGCCGATTCCTGGTCCTCGTGTCCACAGATGAGCTCACGTCCATCTTCCTGGGAGCCGGGGCTGGCGTCAGGATGGTTTCCAGTGTGAGTGAGGAGGGTGGTGGTGAGGATGAAGGTGACCTCGCCTGCTCCCCAGTCCCTGGAGGGTCTCTTGCCTGCAGGCACGGGCCTGGTGGTCCATGCGGTGCCCCAGCTGGCCTCAGCACCCTCCCAGGTGCCTGCAGTCCGTCCTCCATCTCGAATTTACTGAGCACCTACTTACTTCTTCATACCAGGGCTCCCAGGCAGACGGGAGAGCCAGATGTTAGCTCTGTGTGTGTGTGTGTGTGTATGTGTGTGTGTGTAGGGTTCTAACCAAGTTGGGAAGGGAGGGAGCTGAGACTAGTAATGGGGCAGGTGTCCTGAGGGCAGGGTGGACCAGACCCAGAGTGGATGGAGCTGGACTTGGGTTCAGAAAACCTCAAGAGCTAGGCGAGAGGGGACAGGGTCATGCACTGTGGTGTCAGTGTGGGCTCACAGAGACGAGGGAGAAGGTAGTCTTCACAGGAGCCGGTTGCCACATTTCTCGCTTGGGGGCAGCTGGTGGGCTTGAACCGCTGACGTTGCGGTTAACAAGGCCTATGCAATCTGCTAGCCCCCCAGGGTGCCTCCACTGCCAGAGACCGAGGGAGAGAGAGACCCAGGTGGGAATGGGGAGGGGCGATGGCCCCTCTCCCGCTCAGAGCCAGCGCTCTGTGCCTGCAGCCTGGCAGAGGGCCGGGCCCTGCCCTCCGACCTGCGCGTCTTCAACTCCTACTATGCTTGGCAAGGAGCATGGACTTTGCTCTGAGGGCGGCTGGGCCCCGCCCGAGGAGAAGATAAGCTCCCAGGGCTCAGAGAGCTGCAGGAATGAGATTAGGAAGAGGGAGAGGCCAGCGGAGCCAGCCCCAGAGGGGGTATTTGTGGGGAGCAGGTCATGGAGTGCACCTGAGCTGGGCCTCAGCAGAGGTGGGGGCAGGGAACAGCCCAGGGGCCAGGCCGGCATCATAGGTGCCCTTGCAGAGAGCTGAGCCCCCAAGGATTCCTCAGAGGGAGATGGGCCCCACTTGCTGTGTGACTTTAGCAAGAAGCTCACCCTCTCTGAGCCGGCTCCACGCAGAGACACGGCCTTGCTGGGTGTCGGGAGAACTCGAAGGGATGTGCGTGGGTGCTGAAGGGCCCAGGGAGGCCTCATGGGCAGATTCTATCAGTAAGCAGTTTGGATGTTCTTCCATTGTGGCTGTCTTTATTCAGATGGATGTCGCCCCCCCCCGAAACCCACTGCTCGGAAGCCAAAAACCAGCCAGGCTTCTGAAGAAGGCTGGAGGGAGGTGGGGCCCCAAGTCTTATCCTCGAGGCCACCCCAGCCTCAGGGGGCCTTGGGGGGAGGGGCTACAACCCCAGATCTGGACCAAAGTGAGCAGAAGGTGAGGCTGGCTCTAGGGACCCTTTCGTCTGGGGAGTCCTACGTAAACCTGGGCCCCTCAGTCTCAGAATGTTGATGGCCCCTGCCTTGGGTACCAGGGGAGCCTTCAGCACCCACTTAGCGAGTCCATCCTGAGCCCCCGCTGGGTTGGGGGCAGGAACACCAGCAGGAACAGCCAACACAGGATTCCAGTGCTCCAGGAACCCCGGACACCTGGGGGGTCTCCCCTCCCACCCCCGACTCCCCTTCCCAGGGCACTTAGAGCCAAAAAGGCTGCTCCGCAGAGGAAGGGCATGGAAAAGCCTAGACGTGTTCCCCCACCCTCAGCAGCTCTGTCTCAAGGGGGCAGGGGGGCGGAGGGTGGGAAGGAGACCGCAGGGCATTGGGGGGGCCCCGTGCCCACAGGTCCCGGCGGCTGGCATGGAGGCAAACATACCTGTGACCTATGGTATTGGCAGCCAGAGGGGAGCCCAAGGCACTGGCTGTCAATTCATAGGTCAGAGACTTGTGCACTCGGTCTGGGCAGCCTGCCGGCAGCCCCACTCCCTGCCTCCCCTCCTCCTCCTCCTCTGTGCGGTGTGCCGTGGCCCTCGCCCCAGGCAACAGCAACTCCACTGGAACCAGCGAGCACCTCCACATGGAGTTGCTGTTACAGGGGACGGGAACCCATCAGAGGCTCGGTCCTGCCCACCCGGCCTCTGCCCTGCTCCCCTCCCCCATGCCCACCCCTGGTCTTGGCTTGTGGTCTTTTATTGAGGCACTTTATCACCTGGGGCCCACGCCCATTGGCCCCCTCCATACGGATCCAGACACGCCTTCCTGGGCAGGCCGAAGTCTGGGCCCAACCCTGAACTGCCCATCAAGTCGGGAGCAGCTGGGATTTACAACTCCCGGCAGCCTTTGCCGGCTCTGCGGGCCCCTCGCTCATTTCCTCTTTCTTTTCCAACTAGAGCCGCTCTGGGGTCGGGCTCCACCCTCTGCCCTTTGCCCACCCTTCCTGCTGCAGCCTCCTCCGGCCAGGAGGACCAGCAGGGTCAGCCTTTGGTGGGGGTGGGGGCAATCGCACCCCATGGCCTGAGCATCGTGACCCTAAACCCAGCACCGCCCCATGGGGTGTCCAAGGCTCCACAGAAGCAGCGCACCCCGGCCACACCTCTCCGGGTGGCCAAGCAATGGGTGTGTGGCCTCAGAGCCAAATGTGTTCGCCACCCCCTCTCAGGGAGCCTTGGGGACAAGATGGTGAGAAGGGGCCAGGGGCAGAATGAGAGGAAGAGCAGGAACACAGAGCAGAGGGGTGGGGAGAACAGGGGCCTCCAGGCTGCGAGGACAGCCAACCTCCAGTGGGCTCCTCCCCGGGGCTGCAAACACTCATCCGGGGGGCCATGGTGGCCCAGGAGCTGGGTGACCGTCAGCAGGTGGCTTAACCTCTCCGAGCGCCCCCAGTCTCCCTGTGGAAATCAGGGTTTGGGAGGCCAGAAGTCGCCAACTGGCCCAGCGGCATGGGGGGGCAGGTAGTCCTCATCCTTGGGACAGGAAGCTTGGGTTCTGCCCTGTCACAGGCCTGGCGGGCATGTGGGAGACCCCAGCACTTCTGGAGAAGGAAAAATCAGGGGAATGGAGCCTCTGGGGGTGGACCTGGCTGTCTCTCCCCCAGCCGTGGACTCATGCTCTGAGCAGCACAGCAGGGCTCCGCCCCCACCCCCTCCCAACCAAGGTCACTGAGCAGGGCCCAGGGCCCCAGCGTCCTGGCAATCTCCCATAGTGGCACCAGGCAGGTGGGACTGGGGATGCCTGACTTCTGGAGAAGCTACTCAAGCTGTGACGACCCCCCACCCTACAGCCCCTCCCACCTCAGCCAGGACCTGACCTGTCTAGGGTCTATTTCCAGGCCTGGTGGGGAGTTGCTGGCCTGTCAGCAGCCTAGCTCTGTGGCCCCCAGATAGAGTGAGGCTGGCCTGGCTCGTGTCCCCTTCCTCAGAAGGGCCGTGACAGGCTCTGGTCTGTGGCACCCGGGATTCTTACCTGGTACTGGCTGGCCCCAGGCACGAGGAGGAAGTGGGCCGCCTGGGGTCTGGCTGCCTTTTTGAGCAGCTGGCCCAGCCCTGGAGGGCCGGTTAATGATTACCCCACGGTCAATACCCCTCGTAAGTGAGGTCGAAGGGCAGAAGGCTGGACTGTGCCCATGGGTGGGGCAGGGCCTAGGAAGCATGGGGGCCTCATCTCCCCACCAGGTGTCACTCCATAGCCTTGGCTCGCTGGAGCCACCCCCCCAAACACACACACCTCCCATGGAGCTGAGGGGTCCTGTACCATTCACTTAGTGAATGAGGGGAGCAGGGGATCTTCCCAGGGGGCTGTTATGGAGAAAGCCAGGGTCCACCTCTGACTCCAGGGCATCTCAACCCAAGCCTCAGTTTCCCCATCCGCTCTCCACCTCAGCGCTTCTGGAGAGGCAGGGAAGGGAGCGGGTGAGCAACGGGTATCTCCTCAGTTGATCATTTCTGTCCAAGAGCAGAGCCCAAGGACAGCACAGGCCTTTCCCACTGCCAGCGGCCCAGAGCTGGGGCCTCGGGGCAGAGGCTCGGCCTTCCAAGACCATGGCTATAAGGTTAGGGCTTTCCTGGGCACCCCACAGCCCAGCCCCAAGCATTAGTCTCTCCCTAGCTCCCGGACTCCTGCCACATCGGATGTGGGCCAGGGAAGCTGCACCCCAAGAAGGTGTGCAGAGGCCTGGGCAGCCAGGGGAAGGAGTGCAGGGTTGGCACAGGGTCAGGGCCCCAGCTCCCTAGCAGCCCTGCTGGGTGAATGGGGAAGGTGTGGTGCCACCTGGTGGTGAGGCGAAGGCAGTGCGGTCAGGCAGCAGAAGGGCAGGCAGAAGCCTGGCTGGCCCACAGGACAAGGGGGCTGGCAGTGGGCACAGTTTATTCCACTTCATGCAGACACGGTGACCCACCCCGCGGGGAGGACCGAACCCCACGGTGTCCGTCCCCGACCTCCCCCCGAAGTCACAGAACGATGCTTGGCTGTGCAGGGGAGTCAGGGTCCGAGGTCCGAGGTGAGGGTGAGGGCTGTGTCCTTGCTCCCCACATCCCAAAGAAAAGTGCAGAGATAGGGCCGGGGCCCCAAGGCGGGGAGGCGGGTGTCCTGGCAGCAGCCCCGAGGGGCAGGGCTGGTGGCTCCCCGGGGGTGGCAGGCAGAGGCCGCTGGGGCCTGGCGCTCAGTCCTGTGCGTCCTCGGAGCGCCACTTGAGCGTGTGGTCCTTGTGGGCGTCCGGGAGGATCTGGTTCCTCATGCCCCCCAGCAGGTTGGACGTGGCCTCGGTGGCCAGGATGAGTGGTTTCACTACGGTGGGGGGCAGCTGGCGGATCACGCCGCCCACGGCGCCCGTCAGCCCCTTCTGCTCGTGGCCCCGGGACGCGACGTCACAGATGGTCTGAGCCGTGTCCAGGATGCCCTGTGGGAAGTCAGGGGTCAGTGCCGGGTCCGAGGCGGAGAAGCGGGGCGGGGAAGGGGCGTAGGGGAGGCTGGCAGGCGAAGGCTGGGGGGCAGGCTCCTCACCTCTCGAACCGTGTCGTAGGCCTTGGCCACCCCCTCTCGGAGGTCGGCGGGCTGCTGGCCCCTGCGTCTTCTGGAGGAGGAGCGCTTGTCCTGCAGGGAGCGGGAGACGGGCACGGCGGGGGACAGGATGTCATATACCGTCTCCGCTGTGGCCTGGGGGCAGAAGAGGAGTCAGTCGGTCTCAGCTCCATGCAGGGGTGTCCACAGCTCTGCCATCCCTGCTCGGCCTCCACTCCCCACACCCACCCCCTCAGGCCCGGATTTCTGCCCCATGAGGACTCCCAGCATTGCCTTTGCAGGGGGTAGAGGGGGTGAGAACAGGCCCAGAACAACCCACCCCCCACCCCCTCACCCTCTAAGCAAGCACCCCATCCTTGTCCCCGCATGCAGGTCCCCACGGCAGGCAGCTTGCCTGAGCCTGAGCCCATGGCCACCCCAGCCCGCTCCTCACTGGCTCCAGCAGAGACCTGGGCCCTCGACCACCCACCCAGGTCAGGCTCCTTGTGCACCCCAGCTTTACTTCAGGGGGCCTCTGTCCCCTGCCCATTCCACCCCCCACCTCTTCTGTGGTATACCTGCATGCCCGCCTCCCGAGTGTACAGGTCCCAGAATGTACCATGCTCTTCCTCCCCACCCCCACCTGCAGGGGCACCCAGCCAACGCACAGGACCCCCCTCCCACCACGCCACCTCTTCAACCCCACCCCCCAAGAGGCGCTGGAGCTCAGGACATGGGGTCCCGGAGTGTGTGCAGTCACCCACCGACCCCAGCCGTGAGGAGGGGGCCAGAGGCAGCGAGCCGAGGGCACCAGAGGTCCCGCCCCACTCCCCCAACTCCCCACCTGGATGGCCTGCACCAGGCGGTTGCTGAGCTCCAAGGCGGCCGAGGCGGTGGAGGAGCCGAAGGAGGCGGCCCCCCGCTGC